AAGCAGTGGTATCACGCAGAGTACTTAGATGCGGTTGCGTCCTTCCACATTTTTGAAATACTTTGTATCAATGCGCTTGCAAAAACGGAAATTGCTCAGTAATCGCTACAGGATAGTTACCATTATAAAAATGACCTGTCACAGCTACTTATTTACCCTAAGACTTGCTATTATCTCTCACATGCTACTACTACTTCTGTTGCTGTTGTTACCTAAATGCTGACTGCTTCTTTATGTAAATGGTAAAATACTGGACCATCTCTATAATCTGCGTTTATGTTTAAGGTACCCGCACTATGTTGTCAATCGACATAACCACTTATCCGCCTCCAGTGCTTTTTTCCCTGTTCATGCCGTATTTTTGTTACTGTTGTTTTCTATACTGTAAACTCCAATTCCACAATTTCCATGCTCAAGTCATTATCAGTTGAGATTTTTAGGCAGCTTTAGATCATCATAGCATGACTATAAATGTTACGAAACTTACAAGATATGAACAAGATTAGCCAGACTCAATCAAAAATCCTTGCACACATTCTGTTTACGAGCAAAAAGTTATGAAGAACTTCACGCATGCGCCAAATGATAGTGGAAGGACGCAAACCGCATCTAGAATGATTTTTTATGGCCAAGGCAGGTGCTCATTTCAGTGTGGGATACGCTACTATCCAATCCATCCACTCCGCAATTGATAATTTAGTAAAAACTCGTGTTGCTTGGAGCGAAATGAGTGGAGCGGATAGAGCGAACAATTATAGCACGCGTCAAACCAAAGTTGTCTCATACTAAGGCACATTTCATTTGTAGGAGCCATAACATCTCGGCCTATTTGTAAGGAGTGCTTCTATACAGATAAGTGTTATCAGTTGAGAACCGCTCTGATCACAACATTTTTCACTCTTTCCTCCTTTTTGTGGACTCTAATTCCTTCCATTCGTCGGGCTCTAGATAGGGCCACATATAGCTGACCGTGCGAAAATACCTCAGACTCAAGGGAGATGCCCACGCTAGTGAAGGTCTGTCCTTGAGCCTTATTTATCGTCATAGCGAATGATAAACGGACAGGGAATTGTCTTCTTCGCAATCGGAAAGGTACTCCTACTTCAGTGAAGATGTCTATGCGTGGTATCAGCACTAATTTTCCTTTCCTATCCCCTGATGCGAACCGACATCCTAGGATAAAACGCCCAAAATGAGTGACGATCAGTCTTGTCCCATTGCATAGCCCATTTCTAATATCGAGATTTCTCAAAAGCATGACTATCGAGCCCTCTTTCATCCGAAGATTATGAGGAGGCATCCCAGCAGGTGCTAAGCTGTTGAGAAATTCGGTCGTATATTCGTTCTGTGGTTCATCGCTAATCACATCGTCAACGCTCTTATACTCGTAAATTCGTCCGGGGAGTTTCCCCAGTGCTTCTTCATTGATCCGATATGCTTCGATATTCCGAGGTGCTAGTATTGCTCGTTCACTCAAGGTATTAAAATCAGTCAACAAATCACCGAATACTTCACTGATAAGATCGCCTTTAGAGAGGATTTCAGCTGGAAGCTCTATGCGGCCCATTTCATCTTCTTCTGCTGTTCCGTTCCCAATTCGCATCAAAAGATCACACCAAGTTGAGCCAGATTCTGCAGCTCTGATATTGACAGAGAGCCGATGCATAGTGAAGCAGCTCCACAGGTCGCTGTTCTTTACACATGCATCAATCATATCTCCTTCGCTTCCTCGCTCTACAATTGGCAGCACTTGCCGAAAATCGCCACCCAATACGACTGTTTTCCCACCAAAAGGTGCTTTATTGCACATCAAATCCTTCAGAAAAAGATCAATAGCTTCGAGTGAGGACTTCGAAACCATGCTCACTTCGTCACAAATAATAACATCTGCTTCTTTGAGTGGGACGGCATCCTTGTCTTCACGTCGTAATGAGCACTGACGATTTCCGGACTTCATGTTGAGCTTGAAAGTCGAACTGAGTGTTCTACCTTCAGGCAATAAGTTTGCAGCTATGCCAGTCCATGCTACACATATGACACGTTTGTGTTGGCCCTTCAAGATGTGGTAAACGGCATTATAAAGATAGGTCTTTCCGCTACCGCCGGGACCATCAACAAAATGCAGCTTGGAACGGTCATTTTCAAAAGATGCCAAGATATCATCTGCTGTTAACCTCTGCCGCTCATTGAGGTGCTCGTACATCTCACTGCCTTTCCGCTCGTGGAAAGCGTAATCAGTGTGATCCGCCAAAACGGGCCTATTTTGTGAGGGTGGCGTGACTGTGACCGAAAGATCGTAGCGTAAAAGTTGCAATTTATCGTAAAGCTCGAAGTATGCGAGTGCTTCAGCGTCAGCAACTGTATATCCTTTGTGAATAAAATCTTCGGCCATATAACTTTTGAAGCGGTCATATAAATGCCTTGGATTAGACGTTTCACAAAAAGCCAGCATGTAAGTGAATAACGCCCGCAATTCCGCAGGCATCTGAAAGTGAACTGCCTCTTCTAAGCAACTTTCATAGTGGGAATCGTCATGCAACAGTCCCAAAGCGCGCGCTGCATCCAAAAATGTTGAATGCACATTACCTTCGACTGTGCGGAGATCTTCGAAAGAACGCATGTTCTTCCGGTTAAGTAATAAAATACGTAAACTGAATCTCTCTGGATCAGTGGGTGTGACCATGTACATGCGACCAATTTGGCGACTGCCCCTCTTTCTTCTACTCCACTTTCTTTCTTTACCAAACGTAAAATGTTCTGGCAGCTGATGATAATAGAGCGTTCGAGGATCCAGAAGTCCAGCTACTCCATTTTCGCTTTCCATAAGATCATACTCTTCATTCAATTTAAACCATGCTGTTAACATGGAATCTCTAGTTGCCTCACGTACAGCCGCCTCACGTTCTTCACCTGATCGAAACGTGACAGACTGGAAGTCGGGGAGGTGGACAGCCAGACGGTATACAGCAGCAGATTTGTATTGACATTCAAACATAAAAATGTGATGAAGTGCTTCCGGTGAGCACATATATCGTGCATCGAGATGAGCCCGAATCTCGTCAGTTCGTTGCGCTTGACCCTGTTGAAGTAGACGTAAAGATGCTCGATCTGGTCCTTTGTATACATATTTATATAGGTACTTGACTGCATGTATGTAGCCGCAGATTTCCAAATTTATGTGCGCATTGAGGAGGAGAAGGAGGAATCGGTTATAGGGCACAACATGTCTGTTATCATACACCTCAACTCCACTCGTTACGGTGCGGCCGTCGTCAGGTCTTTTGTATTTAGGGTACCCATCGACATCGATATCCGTTGTTTCTCGAAACTCCTTAGGATAACGCTTTGAGCACTCCCCATTTACCATGCATGGAGCAGTAGGATTGGTTGCTCCACATCGACGGTGAATCATATTTCGCGCGACTATGCTCAGAAGACGTGGATCTTCGGAACTGCTGGGAAGATATGCCTGAACAGCTGCATTAACAGCCTCAGGGGTCCTTGGCTTCGCATCTGCTGCCATTATCAGAAGCATATGGCAGTGAGGAAGGCCTCGCTTTTGCCACTCTACGATCCCCACATAAGCTGCAACACATCCCAGAATTTTTTTCTCGAAAAGATATTTCTGCAGCACTTCTAGCTTTTGATGGAACACGCGAGTCACCAAATCGGGTCGGTCTGAAGCGGACTGGCCAGGGTACAGGTTTTCGGCGATTTCCCTCCATTGAGGGTTGCAAGTAAAGGTAAGAAAGTAATCGGGTTTTCCGTACCTTGCAACAATAGCCATCGCGTCTTGATAAGATTGATGCATAGCACGTGGGCTCCCACGAAATGAAGAAGGTAAAATTATACGCTGTCCCGGAGGCCCGTCTACACCATCACTGGCCAGATGATCTGTAAGACCTTTATAACTATCAATTCGAAGTTCTTTTTGATGAGTCCGGGTATAATTAAGCCGATTCTGCTCTATTTTAACGTATGCATCGACCACAAATTGCTGCATAAGTTTTCCAGCATGGTGAAGCGGATTGAAGGAATGACGTACAGCTAGCATGTTGGAGTAGTACTCGCGTTGTGATATTCTCGTGCGAATGCGAGAGCTAGGATTCTTTTTCAGATCAACGTGCCACCCTTTTCCTCCCCTAGGGAATAGCAGGGGATAAGTCAACGGATCACAGCAGGCATCGATGTCCCGAATGATCTGCAGAGTACCTCCTTTATGATGAATGGCAAAGGAGCGACTTGCTGGTACATCATCGTCCTCGCCTACATAGACAACGGCAATTTCGTTGGCAACGGGAACATTGTAGCGACGATGATCTACGTTCTGGGCATCATGAAAAACCATTCGGATTGTTGGCACTTGCCTGTTCTCCCTAAGGGCTCGACGCTCTTCCTCTGCAGCTACATCACCCATCATTTTCAATGAAGCCGCATAACTATTGTTCGAATGCAACCATAATGTCAGTTGCTGCATTACGGTGGCATCACACTGTGCATTCAGCGGATTTCCGCTTCTTTCAGCGGCTGCGTCATCAGTGTCTAGTATATACACTTGTCCAAATTGTCGACGAACACCTGGCTCTGGTGTAATGGGACCTACATAATGATACACTTGTCCATGAATCCTGTAACAGTATGGTCCAGCACCACGTGGCGTATCCACTTGAGCCCCCATCGAAGCCATAGCAAGTGCGCTATTAAATGAGCGGATGTGACTGCGAAAATTTTTGCAAAGTTGGCTAGTTCCAAGGTAAAATGACCGGAAGAGCTCGGGAAAATCAGAAAACAAATCCAGAGAAACATTTCCAAAGTTACAGCAAACATTAAAACGTCCATTGACAGATGTACCCTCGCCAGGAAAGTACAGAGCTCCACAGTGAGCGCACCTGACGTTTAGGCATCCTAGATAGTTCTCTTCTGTGACATTCATACTTAGCGCTATACCAAGATTAGCGGGTGTTCTTCGCTGCAAATGCACATTTCCAACTGAACTCATCTGCAAGTTAATGCTCAAATGCCTCGCAAAACAGAGTGGTTATTTATTCGATATACCTGAGTAACCGCTTCTTCTCTCAACTCCTCGTTCTCGTTGTGATGCGAGAGAACTTCATGGTTATTTAGCTTAAAAAATACGGTTGCCCAAGAAGTATGGTTTCAAGATAAAATACCGTTTGATCAGATTCGAGCGGATCTTGAATCATTCTGGCTACTGAACTTGCATCTGATCGTCTCTCCACTTCAACCATTCTTCTTGTTCTCGCCCTTTTTGCATCATTCGCAAGGCGTTTCGACCTTTCCTGCTCATTTTCCAGTAATCGTTTCAATCTAGCCCTTTCCACCAATGAGGCAAGGCGATGTTTCCGTTCATCTTCAGTTTCACTGGATCTCTTAGACGCCACTCGTCTCGCATCAATCGCAAGACGTGATTGGTGTTCATGATCAGTCTCTTCAAGTCGACAACCTGACTGCTCAGTAGTGCTGAGTAAGTCTGTGGCGGTGAGTTGTCCTGATTCCCCATGGTATTCTTGTGTACCGGAAATCAGAACCTCGGATATGCGAGGTTCGTTTGAATTTCCTCTATCCTGCCCGTTTGGGCCAGACTAAATCATGATAATGATCAATAAGAAATTCCAACAAATGACAGGCTAACCATTAGTTGAGTATCAATCGAAGCAACCGCAGTGGTGGCTTCGAAGTAGTGCGAGAGTGGTAATTGTTGGCTGTCCTACATAGAAAACATGCGAATTAGTGAAACCACTGAAAGTGCAATCTTACCAAAGCTTCCGATCCATAAGCACGAGATGTGCTTGGAAATTGACTATGTATATAGCCTTCTCCACGGTCGTGCTGTACCGAACTTTCTTGGGAATTCTGCTCGATCTTATCGCTCTTGGTAATTCTAGTTCGTTCTTTTAGCACAGCCGATCGTCTTGCTCTCGCCCTTTCCGCATCTTTCGCGAGACGGACTGACTTCTCCTCTTCAGATTCAACTGATCTTTTGAGCTTAGCCCTCTTAGCTAGAGCTGCAAGTCGTAACCTACGCTCGTGATCAGTCTCACTGGCTCTTTCAGATGCTGCTCGTTTGGCATGCGCCGCTAGACGTTGTCGGCGTCTGTCAGCATGAGCTTCAGAACTTCGCGGAGCTGCTAAGTCCGCATCATTTTCTTGCTGAATTTCACTCGATGAGTTCGACGCAAGCTAAAGTCATAATTCTGATTGCTTCTATCAAAAAGGAATTTGTATGTTGTAAACTGTTCACCATTTCGTTTTCATCTAGGTAGGCGGCATTCGAAGGAGAGCATTGTTGACTTTCCTCAAGCTCGCCAGATAAGGCCTGGGTATGCGAGGAACTCAATGAATTGTATGTGTCAACGGTGTTTATTGCCAGATCTTGTTCAAAAGCCGGTGTTGCTCCTTCAGTATTTGAGAAATGCGTATTCATCTGTAGCACAACTTGTAGCGAAATAAGCAGTGTACGATACGCGTAGAGTTACGAAACGTCACCCACTTAAAAGGTGATGTGAATCGGCACATAAATAGGATTAAAAGCTTGAAGTCGGCGTTTACTTGTGAAAAAGAAGTGGTTTCAAATCGCCTCTATATGCTAAGTTCTTTAAGCATTTTCTACACAGCATCTTCCACAATGAACCCGACTGCATAGAGTACATTGATGACCATGCCTCAATGAATATGCAGCCGTCCAGCAAATGTTTTCGCTAAGTCAAAAGCTGGAACCTGGTGCCCCTCATTTCTCAAAAACTGCAAATACTGTTCTTTCATCTACTGATACTGGAGTACTGATACTGGAGTCAACCAATGTGAATAATTGCACAATATGGAAACAATCAACATTTGGTTCCATATTGGTACAATATTCGAGAAGTTTAAAAGTGCATATGCGAATATGGACGCGCATTCAAAACCTAGGATCCGTTCCAGCGAAGTCTGCCTAAATTGAAAAAACTCCACTCGCAATGCTATTGTTTATCGACATATCTCGAAATGGAACCTAGCTATTATTGAAGCACACAGATTGTTTTATTTAACTTCTTCTTCTTCTTCTTCTTCAAAAAAAAAAGAATCGGCAGAGTGTCTCAAAACAATTATCGATGAACAGATTAGACTTGCTTAGAATAGAAAATTGCGCTAGAATTCCGTCGTTCAGGCGACATAAGCAGTAGCAGCAGAAGCAGCAGCAGCAGCAGGGTTTTTCAAACCATCATCTTCCTTACTGGTTGAGTACACAAAAAGGGTTCGAAGAGGAAAATAGCATTTTTTAAATCCCTGCTGAAGGCAATGAAGATGTTTTAAAGTAAGTCCAGGATTGTTGCTTTTTGAAAAACAGCTCTTAGGTGATTACGACAATATATTAATGCTGTCTCTTTTGAGAAGTTCACGCCTCAAACAGAAAAGATTTGAGAGGGCGACAGTTGATGCGAATTTTCATGACAAGAGACGATAAAATTCTTTTTCAGATAAGCAGTTTCTTTTGCGAGAATCGAAATTTGAGAAATATTTTGAGTTTTTTTCGTAGGCGACTCCATTTCTGATGTAACCGCACAGAATTCTCTTTTTTCACCAAAAGGGCTTTTTTTGATTAGATCATTCCACATTTTCAAAACGATCATCTTTTATCCGGTCATATTCGATCTAAAGATTATGGTATGTACATTCTGCGCCAACAGGGTTCAAGAATTTAGTCGCGTTAGCTTAACACTATCAAATCGATCGAAAAATGGGTTATTTTAGTTTTCTGGATAAAACGATTCGCAAAATTACTAACCGCTGTCTCACACTATCTGCGATTGTGTCATCTGAATCTGGACGTTCTTATGTCCTTGGGCACATGAAATTTACAGTTGTTGCGCAGTTCCATGAATCAGAAAGGAATAAGTAAGCTTTTTTCTACTTCTAATGCGGTTGAAGTGGAAAACTTTCTTTTAGATTACTCACAAATTATTTCAAACGTAAAACTGATCGTTTTTTGAATAGAACATTTCACAGTTGTGCTCAAATATCATTTTCTCTATTATATCCGTGAATACCCAAAGATTATGGTGCGAATGTTAGATGAAAGAGTTTGTCTAAAGCTGCCTTCCATTTTCTCTGCTAACCTATCTCAGCAAGAAAGTTGAAGTTATCCGAATTCCTGCATCAAATGCTTAGTATATATTTTTATCTCAGATAAACTGCATTAAATCTGCTTTCAAAATTTCTCGCGAATACTTTTACTTTCTTTGGACAATCTTTGTCTATGAGGATTTTTTTCAATGAGCATTTTGTTTGAAGTGCCTATGATTCCAAAAAAAATTGTCAGGTATTAAGCAAAACAGTTGCGGTAATTCAAATCTCAAGGGCATTACTTCTCACAATTGTCGACACTAATCTGTTCACTCAAAAGCGACTTCATTCTGGGTTTTTAGCGGTAATTCAAGAACAGCTTTGATCGTGCAAGCTTTGTTGTTGGACAGCGCTTCAGTATTTCTTCGAAAACATTGTTAATTTTGTGCAAGAGATCGTGATTGATACGAATTCGTTAGGTGTTTATATCTCTGAAAATTGCAACATGCCATTCAGAAAGTCTTCACAAACAGCATCCATTCTGCAATTGTCTACTACTCAAAAGTTGTAAAAGAGTGCATTTTAGTCCATCATAGTTTTCACTGTGCGCCTCAAAAAACTAAAGAATTCGCGCTTTCTAAAGATCTTACTTTTTTTGAACTAATTTTGTGAGTATTTTTTCTACATCAATGTATGTAAATTTTTTGTTCAAATTTCTTTTCTAATGCAATTTTCGAAAGAGCTGTAAAAACAGTCTATCCAGAACCCAAGCTTTTTATGTGTCATGTGCTCTACAAATGTGAACATTGCACAACCTCAAAATTGTGTAAAGAGCGGAGACTTGCTTAAGTGAGCAGCTAAAAGCGTAAACTCGCATGAGTAGGTCATTTAAAATATTTGACTCGGTAGTTTGCTAATAATGAGATCACCAGAGAAAGGAGTGGATTTTGGAGCACTTCTTTATGAATTGCAGGCGTGTTGGACAATTTGGAAAGTTCTTATGGAACGCGATTGAGATTTTGACAAAATTACTTGAGGAGGAGGAGGAATTTTGACGCTTCTAAAGAGTACTTTGTGAAGAGGAAGAGGAAGTATTTGGATTTGCAATAGATTTTCTAGATCTGATAGTTTAAATGTTGGCTAATTTTAAGGAAGTCAATTTGTTTCTCGCTAATTTAAGTTCGGAAAGAGATAAGAGTAGTCTGACATGGGAATGGTCAGAAATCGAAGTGGCCAGTTTAGACAAGCTGCATATCATTACATGCAGCATGAAAGCTGACTTTGAATCCATATTCCACATCTGCGCGCCTTTGCGGGCGAAGTTACTAGCCGTTGAAAGTCGTTAATTTGCTAGAAATCGTGCATGAAAAGCGCAAACTTGGCAGAACAGAGTCATGTTTTACTTGATGCTGGGCCACACTCATAAACTTCATCCACGAATGCGCTAAGCAGATAAGGAGTACTGATTCCAAACCAACGTTTATCGCTGCCTTGAATGGTTGGCAGCTTGCTTCGATTGGCCACATCGACTTCTGACATTTCCCATGTGAGTAAGAACTTTTGAGGGAGTGGAGGTTATAAAAAACCTTGGGAGTGAGGGGGGGGGGAATCATTCAGTGTGTGTGAAACAGGTCCCAAGTGGGGAGAGTGCACGTGGCTTATAAAACTTTGCCGGTTTTGAGCGCTTGCTCCTGGGCAAAAAGGAGTTAAGGGGGGGGGAGGAAGCAATCCTCAAAGAAGTCGGATAGCAAAACGCTATGCAAAATTCGAGTATCTGTAAAGCAAAGAAAGGAGCGATGCAGCTTGAAGAAGCTGGGAGGAAGCGTCGTAATTCTGTTGTCACTTTTGATAAGAAAATCGAAATCTTCTAAAGCAGGAGATCTATGACTATGATGACTTCTGGGGTCGTTACGTTTTTGAATCCGTGCCATCGAAAAGATTCGCTAAAAATCTTTGAAAAGGTCTAATTTTAGTTACATCCTACTTCACACACACAGCCAGTCCAAAGCGCCGCGAAGCGGCGCTTTGGACTGGTACTCTTTAATAAAGCGCAGGCACCCCCATCTGACATCAGTGTCGGTCTGTTCGTGCCATGTTTGGGTTGTTTACCACTATGCTCCATGAACCTGCACTTTAACACTGCCCTTTACCACTATGCTCCACGAACCTGCACTTTACCACTGCCCTTTTTTGTCCGGACCAAACTTGGCACACATACACTTCGGGCCCCGGCGCGTGTCATAGGCTACTTTTCGTCATCGATCGATATCGATTTTATCGACTTTTATCGATTTTTTTGCGGAGTTCACCTACGGGGCTGGGAGTTGGCACAGGGGGGTAATCGAGCATGGGGATTCCGAATACAATATTGGTTTTCAGGATTATCGATTACTTTTATCGATTTTATCGATTTTTTTGCAAAGTTTGAGCTACGGGGCTGGGAGTTCGCACAGGGGGGTAATCGAGCATGGGGATTCCGAATTCAATATTGGTTTTCGGGATTATCGATTACTTTTATCGATTTTATCGATTCTTTACCACTGCCCTTTTTTGTACAAGTGATCTTTGCCATCAGACTGTCTGTCTTCGCTATTGTTTATCAAGGTTCCTTACGCAGGCACGAGCAGTCAAACGCTGCTACCACAACTCCTAAGCGGTTCACGATATTTCGCTTTATTTCAGCTACGATTTGACTCCATTATCCGAATCTAAAGACGGGTAAGGTATTCTACCATCGTTTGTTTCATCTGAAAGGCTATCATTCCCATCGCCCTGTGATACCTGTCTTTTCGCACCTCATCGTTTCTGTGACTATTTCTGATTCTTACAACTATCTCTCCTTTTATGCAACTCTGATCGCTCCTAGAGCAACAAAAGCGCACCAACATATGCAATCTCACTTTTATGAGCAATTTTTCATTTATGTTAAAATTATATTAGATTTGAGGATTTCATAATTGCTGCAAAGTTCTATGCCTCAAGAAAAAGTCAATTGAAGTTTTTTCTGAGAAACTCGAAATAAAAATGAAGCGATTTGAGCAGCACCTCCAATGTGGCTGCATTTATGTGGAATTTTTCTAGAAGCTGAGCAGTTTTTTTTTGAGAGTAACGTTTTGTTCTCAAAACGATCATCATCTGCCATTTTGTATCAGTAAATACAAAAAAAAACACGGTACAAGTATATTCAAACCGAAGAATTGGCAAAACTGACCAAAAAATCAATGATTCTAAAAAGATTCTATCAATTATCATGAACAATATAATGATGCTGTTTCCGTAATTATGTCAAAACATTGCACAACCTCAAAATCGTATAGACAGTGTTTGGATGAACAGTTGAAATTGGATACACTTTGATAGTAGAATTCTTGATTATATTCA